TACATTATGTGCTCCTGCATGTGTTGTATTTCATGGTCTGCATTTTCTAATGTCATGTGGGTTTCAAAACCTGTGTTTCTCTGGTAATGTACTAGCAGCAGGTAAGCTCAAAATACCATCCATCAGGAGCTAATTTTTTATCCAGATACTCCAATGACTGATGAACCTGTCTTTTGTATGAATGTTTAGCACAGTAGAAAGCCATATGCCACTGGCACAGTTTCCTATGCATTCCTTACAGTTGCTAGAGAGTGGGCTTACAGGGGGCAAAACCCCTCCATGCCACTTCTGTCCTCTTGCCTATATTTAAAGGATAACACCTTTAAAAATGGCCCAGGTTTTGGATAATAAAAGAGGGGAGGGGCCATCTTAAAGGAAATCCGACTCCCATAATCATTTTCTTTATCAGAAATAGGACTACACACCCTTAATAGGGAACCTTGTTTTGTTACTCCCCGTCTGTTCAAAACAGACCTTAGCCCATTAAAAGGGCCTCCCTTGTGTGGGAAGACCACAGCTGTTACTGTAAATCTCATCCCGTCACTGTATCACCCCCATTTTGTGGCTCTGAAGGATGAAATTGAGAAATGGAATACTGTGCAGTCATCCTTTACATCTCCAATTTTAGGCCTTTGCCATCATTTTCATGCTTTTATTCCAAATCAAATAACATTAGTGAGCTACACTATCTTCTGATGAATATCTGGTATTGAAACAGCTTTCAAGTCTGTACTTTTGGGGGCTTCCTTTTATGTTTGGTGGAGGTCTCCCCCTCTTCTTTTTCTCTTCCTGCACTTCCTTTGAGCTTTCTTCCTGCATTTGCAGTCTGAATGATACAAGTTGCTGAATATGTCCCAGTCTTAGCATGTTTTCCGCCAGCGATGTGCAGGAGAAGGTTCTGTGTCTTTTAATCTTTGGGGAAGAAGTGAAGGGAACTTGGTAGAAGGCTGTTGGGGGCTTTAATCAGAAATAAGAAGTGATTTAAATCATTAGCACAACAAAGCATACTATAAGCTTGAAGATAAAAGTCTCTGGGGAAGGAGTCCTCTGAAAATAAATGGAACTTGATAGATTTCCATATCATTTATAACTTCCCTTAATTACACTTGGAAGACTTGCCAGTAAAACTGGAAAATTGGCAGCCTATATCCATTAGAGTCATTTTGCCGACCATGGCAAGCAGCTGGCTTTACTGGATTTTATTTCCCATCACTCACAATTAATCATCAGCTGGAGATGTCTGAACCTCTTTCAGCACAGAGCAGTGCCAGGCGACATTCAGGCCTCCTAAACATGCTGAAATCTGCTGAATAAATTGGCCGAGTTTTCTCTCCAGTTTACTCATTTTGGGGCAAGGCAGGCTCCCGCTTAATGAGTGCACTCTGATAATCGGATGCGAATGTGAACCTTGACCCCATGTCAAAGGAGAGGACGCAATAAGCCGGATGAAAGATACAGGATTCAGGCCTCTAAACTTTACAGCAATTAGACAGGGAGCAGAGAAGTCTGTCAGGCTGACTAGGTTTATCAAAAAGACTTGTGAGGCTTGTGACCATTTTGTAAGCACAACGTTGGAGACGTCCTGTCACAATCATTAAGTCTTTATCTGATGATTCACAAAAGTGTTAAGAGAAGTGTATGCACACAAGTCCTTCAAGTGCAGTGCCCTCACATGTGAGCTGTCTGGTGGAAATGGAATGTTTAAGCACCCTTTCTGTCTACTCAATTAATGCCTGGGCTTTCTGAGCACACGGGGAAATCCAGGAGGTGCTGCCACTACTTTCCTGAACTCGGGGAGGGGGTGCGAACGGGCACCTGTGGACAGGGAGGCTTCCGAATGTTGAGCTAAGAGGCCTGTGTAATGCCATCTGGGCACTGCTGGAACTGGAGCCCATGTAGGGCCCAGCTGGTGGGGAGGGCACCCCCTAGTTACCAGCCCCACATGCTTTCTTGACTATATGGTATGTACCTCATTTGCTTCCCTGATTTGGATTTTTGAGGAATGAAATAACTTGTATTTAGATTGAGTTCTAACAACTAAAACATATCTCTCTCTTCTGTGGAGTAAACAATTTACAAGAGTTTCTTACCTCTTAGGGACAAATGAGTGAAAGCAGACTACAAAACAAATGGCTGCAGGTGAACAGAGATCTGAATTACTTAACTTTTCATCCACAGCTAAATAATACAAGTAGAGACTAGCAGACATGTGAGAGAGAAAACAGAAATGAAAAGGAAGCTGCGGGGATTGAATTTAGTGATTCAGTGCAGAGCTGTGGGTTCGGCAGAAGAGCAGTCACTTCAGATCTGGAGCATTTTCTATGAAGTCCTTTTAATCCCATTGCCAAAGTCATACAATCAGAGAGAAGAGAGCATTGCAAATTTGGGACTTTCCTTCCTCTCCTGATTACCTCTGGCTAAGTCAGAAGCTTTTTCTGATTAATAATTGGGTCTCTACCACTTGGTGTTACCTGTAAATATGTTACCTGTTTACAAACCACCCATGCTGCAAGTGCACCGAGCCAGCTAAGAAGGGTTGCCCGTGGGCTGTGACAGTGGGCCCCATGGATTTGTCTTTCTCTACTACCCTCAGGCTCGAGCAGGCCAGCTTGAGCCTGGATTGGGGCTGTAGCCCAGGCCTAGCTGGCCTTCTATTAGTTTTCTAAAGCCATTGCTATCCGGTTGGCCCAGGCCCCCTTAGAGTGACCATTGGAAATTTCCTGGTTCATTTCTTTTTCGTATTTGTGTTAATTGTGAATTCACGTACTTGAAGTTCTCATAAAGAAGCAGTGGGAGGCTCTCTGGCCAGCAGATGCCAAGCAGGGGGCTGAGCTGCTGCAGAAGGGCAAGGGTGTGCCCACCTAAGAGAAGCCTGTGGGGCTGGGGATGGGGAGACGGGCTCGGAGCAAGCCCAGGCTCTCAGACACCAGCTGAGGAAGCCATTTAATCCACTGAGCCACACCAGCCAGGGCAGTCGAAGAACATTTTAATCACTCAAAGGACAGGTACTCACAGGTCCCATGGTGAGTGGGCATTCATCCATCCGTGAAGGAAAAAGCTACCAGAGCCCTGAGTTAGAGAGCTGACTAATTTTTGGATGGAATTCCCATTGTTGAATTTCGGATCCGTTTCCCAGAAGATCCCAGCTTTGTTACTGGAATGCCCAGTCCTTGGGTTGGGATGCTGTTTCCTGAGGTCACCTCTGACCCACAGCGTGCATCTCAGAAGCCTTGGTCTGGGTCCACCAGGGTTTTGCATGTGGGGCTAAATGGCAGGGACTGCTCTGGGAGAACTCACTCTTCCCCTATCTTGCCTGGTCCCTGGCAGCCTTTGAGGAGAGAAAAAAATGGATCTGAAATGAGGACTCGAGGGAGTAGCTGTTGATACCCCGACTGGACCATCTTCATTGTCTGAGTTGCCCTCACTTCTCTCCCTCTGCATTTTGAAGAATAGCAAGTTTGGAAGAAGAGCCCTCTTGAATTGATTGTTCACTCTCTGTGGAATGCAGATGCCAGGTGAAAATGAATCAAAAAGGGCAGCGAGCACAAGCGCTTCAAGCCCAGCTCTGCAGCACAGTCTCTCCTCTGTGCCAGCACTGAAGCTTTGGCATCCCCTCTCTTCCTATGTTTCTGTGCCAGGAAAAAGCAGCCCACCACCTGATCAGCAGAGGAAAGGAATGCACAGGGCTCAGGCAGTCCTGACTGCCAGCAAGACAGCTTGTGCCCCATGGGGGGCTGGCAGGGGCACTTGGAGATCATTTGGGGATTTCAGGAAAGAACATCCTGCAGGCCCTCTGCGACACCGGGCAGGCGCAGCCGCAGCGGTGAGAGTGTCCAGGAGCCCCACGCCAGCTGCCCACCAGCGCCCCGATAGCTAGTTGCTGTAGGAAATTCAACTCTCTGATTTCAAAGACTGGGAGGCCCTTTTCCACAAAGATAGGGGAAAAATCTAGCCCAACTCATTCACGCTTACTCTTCAAGGGCAGAGAGAAGAATACATAGAATAGCTTTTAGTCACATCTGAATCCTGGGTAGAAGGCCCAGGTTTAACCCCAGGGGGTTTAGACCCTGCTCTACCTGGACTTCACTCATAACAGTAGGCAAACATCGGAATACCAAGCCTGAGCCCACACTTGTGGTAGCTCCCAGTGTCCTTGCAAGGAATAGGCACAGCTCTAGAAATCATTGCCTGCATTGGAGGTTTGGGATAGTGGTCTCCATAGCACAGATGTTTGGCTGTTGCTCCCAGTTCCCCAAGGCTGAAGATAGAAACTCCATTGTTTGGTAATAGCTTTACTGAGATAAAATTCCCAAACAAGTTATTCCTTTAAAGTGTGCACATCAGTGGTTTTAGTCTGTTCACAGAGTTTTGCAACCATCACTAATCCTAGAACATTTTAATGTTTTAAAAGATTTTAAAATTTATTTTTAGACAGAGGGGAAGAGAGGGAGAAAGAAAGGGAGAGAAACATCAATGTGTGAGACAAACATCAATCAGTTGCTTCTTGCACACCCCCAACTGGGGGCCTGGCCCGCAATCCAGCATGTGCCCTAACAGGGAATCAAACCAGTGACCTTTAGGTTTGCATGCTGGCACTCAGTCCACTGAGCCACACCAGACAGGGCAGTCAAAGAACACTTTAACCACTCAAAGGAAACTGTGTACCCATCAACAATCATTCCCCTTTTTCCTCAGCCTTTGGAAACCATCAATCTTTCTATCTGTAGAGATGTGCCAATTAATTGCATAAAAGTGAAAAGCATGCCTTTTTGCCACATCTCTGTGGCAAAGGCAGATTCAGATTCCCAGGTGATGGCCTTTCTTTGCTGTCCCTCAAATATGAAACTTGGGATTCCAAGTATTTATCAGAGGTTGCCACTACTGTTTGGATCGAATTTCAGCACGTTTGACAAAGAATCTCTTAATGGCTTCACTCTTGAACATTGTTGTAAAATTAGAATGCTGGTTAAAACTTCTGTCCACTTTTATTCGTTTTCCAGGTAGCAGAAGGTCAGGAAATTTGTGTGATTGAAGCCATGAAAATGCAGAACAGTATGACAGCTGGGAAAACTGGCAAGGTATGTCCCCAAGTTCCTGCCAGCCGACACCAGCTCTGTGGCAGGAAGCAGAACTCCTAACTTTGAATCTTGGACGGTTAGACCTGAAAGGGATCATAGACATGATCTCTTCCCACTTCTTGCTTCTGCAGGTGAGGACGGTGAGATTGGGGGCTCTTTTCACCCTGCATCAGGGAGCGTCTGCCTCATGGAGAGCAGGCTTTCCAAAAGAGTCTCTATAGTTAGGTAGTCAAAGAACAATTGTTCTTCACCTTAATGTATTTCAAATTAAGAGGTTTTTAATTTTTAATGTTTACATCTGTCTTAGAGGCAGTTAGCTATCTGAGACTTAGGTGGCACAGCAGGAAATGGTTTTAGAGACTTCACAAATTAATGTAACTCTTCAAGATAATTTCTCCACAAAGAGAACAGTTCAATTTTAGATCAAGAGAAGCTGAAAGCCCCACATACACATGTGGGACTTAGAAATTTAGGGAAAGAAAAAAAGGAGATGATATATTAGTACTGAAATTTATTAAAACTTCTAAATGTATTTTCTCCTTGAAGAAAATAGAAAAGTCCTTTAAAGCAGTAACTTCATTATCCTTTCTGCAACAAAAAGAAACGATTCGTAGCAGAATGATCCTTTTCTGAAGGACAATTTGGTTTAGTCTGCAGTGAGGTGGCACAGGGTGGAATGAGGACAGCAGCACAGGCTGGCTGCGTCCTGCACTGTGGCCACACTTGGAAAGTGAAATTGAACCTTGGAAACAACGTGTGCCCTGGCAGAGAGGTGCTGTCAGTTCACAGTAAAATCTGCATCAGAGAGACACAGCTTCCATCTGTCACCCCAAAAAGAAAAGAAACTGATGCTCAGAGAGCATGTTGGGGGGAATGCCCAGTCCAGTCCCAGCTGGGAGGATGGAGGTCAAGATGGAGAGGGGCTGCAGACAGCTGTGTCCAGTCTCCATGGGTTTGGAAGAAGAGAAGGGCATGATCTGTGAGTATTTTTAGGAATCCTGCTTTCTACATGATTACTTTTCATAAGGTGAACAAGAAAATGTTGGTTCTGCTCTTGTAAAATTGTTCTATTTTCTTCTTGAGATTTTTAACACTGATATTGCATTAGCATCATGAACTTTCCATCCATGATGAGAATTTGGCTTCATTTGGAGGGATGCAGAATATATGTCAGAGGCATGTCAAAGGCCTGTGTTGCTAGACTGAGGTACTTAATGCAAAAATGAACTTGGTCGTAGCTCCCTTAAGGAGTAGGGGGCCCGTGTCTGTCAGTGTGTTTTATGTCTTTATGGCCTGCGTTTCACAGTGAAGGCTTAGCTGCTTCCTGGTCAGCAGCAGCCCACAGCTGCCTTCAGGGTGTTGATGTGCTCTGAGCGAATTTGCTGACCCCTATTAGCTGGAGTCCCTCCTGCTCATCTCATTTCCTCCTACTGGCCACCAGGGTGCACCAGGAATGGCTGGAGCCCCAGCCCAGAGGACCAGACCCTAGAGAGCTGAGGGGCTGGTGGTTCTTATCTGGGAGGGCCGTTTTTCCCCCCAGAGAAGAGGTTCACAATGTAATCACAGCATCATGAAAAATACCTCCTATACACACGTTGGAGGCTTCAGATCATAAAAAGCAGCCACTTCAGTGCAAATAGCATCTGCTGAACAAGGCCTTTGAAGTAGTCATTCCACAGGTTCACATCAACCTGAAAGAGCCTGGGCTGGAATTCAAGGGGAAGGTCCTTCTAGTTCTCTGGCTCATAGTGGAGCTGCAGGAACACAGGCCAGGGCACTGAACCTGCTGTCACTGGCATTGTTCCTATTTGCCACTTAGTAGTTCTAACCCATTGTTGATTTTCTCACCCAAGCAAGAAATTCCAAGACGACAAATGACTCTCTCTTCCCCATTCTAACCCCCTACCCACTCATTTTAAATTTGAATACAATTTGGGGAAACAAACCTGATTAAAATTGGGAGAGATAAGTAGAATGAAAGGGCACAGTAGCAACATCGTGGGAGCTCAGTGGTTGTTCCACATCACGCCACAAAGTACTATCTGTGCAGCCGCACATCTGAGTATTTAATTTCCCTTCAGAAGGAAGTTTACAATCAGGCTAGGGAGCTTCTCTTATTAGTTAGTTTTGACTCATAAAATTATGTTTTGTTTTGAGGTCTTTTTACACTGAGTGGCCTATTAATTTTCAGAGAACATTTCTGCAAACTAAAACTGCAGAGATTGCAGGGGCTGGGTGCTGTGAGCTTATCCAGGATCAACACTTCTGCCTCTTAGGATGCTGCCTAGACCCTTCTGTGTGCCCAGTGCAAGGGCCAGCCAGCAGAAATTGCCTTGCACCAGTAACTTTCAGGACAAGGACGGGAGAGGGGACAGTGATGAGTCACAGCCCTGCACGAGGATGTCCCCGTGCATGAGGTCCCCTCTGCGCAAGCCAAGTGCTCTACCTGTGCTCCAAAGCCTGCCAGGCTATCTCTTCACTTCCAGAAACTGATGACGAGATTGCTCCCTCCTGGTGTAGTTAGTAATTCTTACTCCCCCCCCCTTTTTTTTTAACTCAAGGTGAAGTCGGTGCATTGTAAAGCTGGGGACACAGTTGGAGAAGGAGATCTGCTCATGGAACTGCAGTGAAGTATTTATAGCCTTTCAGTCATCACCCAGTTTAATTAGTCATTTGTATTATTATTCTTTCACACTCAATTTATTGAAGCATTTTGCAGGAACACCCCTGTGCGGCAGATTTTACATGGTCATATTTATTCCACATATAGTCAAAACCAACATTCTGCCAAAAAAATCACCAAAGGAAATTTTTATTGATATAAATACTTGTACATATGATTTGTACTTCTGCTGTGAGATTTCCTAGTGTCAAAGTTAAATCAATAAAACTGAGCATTTGTCTAAACATTAGTTTGCCCTTTTTTAGTTTTTTTGTTTGTTTTTTTTTAAATGAAGACAATGTACCTCAGAGGCTATGAGCTTTGCCGGTAGACTTTAAATAATAGCATTTATTGTGATCCTTTAAAAATTTTACGTAAATCCTAGCTGTTTGCCTTCAGTTTTATTAAAATTAGCATTTTCTACCTTATAATCTGGTTACCTACTTCATCCTGGCTGAGGACCTAACTCCTGTTGTTGGTGGTTATTAGTAACTTCGTAAGTCCATACAGCACAGATGACAACTTTGGAAATCTCTCCTCTGTGGCTCTCATGGGTAAGTATGGATCTGCTCGATCCCCGGCAGTGTTACCTTAGGGAGAGACTCACATGGTTCCCTCTTGCCCATCCCACAGGACTCCCTCACCCCAATTGTAGTGGGTGGGGCTGCTACAGGCCAATCAGCTGATACCCATCCTTGCCTTGTGTCTTTGTGAAGCAAGTTTCCAATTAAGAAAAAAGGGCTAAAATAATGATCATGTTTTTTGTGCCAGATGCAGTTAGTGATCACAGTCTACCATTAGGTTGAAGAGTCAGTGAGCTCTCTCCACAGAGACTGAGGTTACTGAGGATCAGCAGCTGCATTTTCATTTGGTTCTGAAATTCCTAGAATACATTTCATACTTTTTGCTAGTAAATAAGCAGAGCCAGTCATGCACTGATCTGAATCTACCCTGACAGAACATCAGATGGAGGTGGATAGTAATTGCTACTTCATGCCTTGCTAAAATTATTTTAAGTGCTGTTTGTATATGGAAGCTAAGCTTTCTGTCAGGCCTGAAGAACAAATTACTAATATATTGGTTCTTCTCCAAAAGGGCTGCCCCAAATGCTGCTCCCTTTGGGAAGCAGGGACAGTGCCTTGCCATTGGGCTCTGGGCTTGGGTGAACTTCCATCTGAAATCAACTGTGTCTGTCTGCCAGCAAGTAGGTGCTTATTATTTTGCTAAATTCGAATGGAAAAAAAAAACAACAACAACAGCAACATTCTACCAAATAAGTATGCCCAAGAAAAGGGCCAAAAATAGCACCAGTACTTTCACTTACTAAAACATCTAGTTTAATTTTAAATGATTACCTTTAATAATCTCTTCTTTAATAAGCTTGATCTGAAAACTGTGAAGAACAATGTTAAATCTACTTTAAAACTACTCTAAAATACAGCATGTTTTTCTTGAGTTTCTTTTATTACATTGAGACATCCAAGATCAGATTAAAAAGTTTTTTTTTCTTGGTGCTACAGGTCAGATTCAATAGAGTAGGGCTGCGAAAATCTAGGTGCAACACAGTCTTTTCATTCATTTTAAATGCTTTCTTCAGACTTCAGCAAAGCAAAGAAGGAAGAAAGAAAACTATGATAACACACGAGTTCTTGAAATGTCATTTACGGGAATTAAAATCCTAAATTTTTCTTATCCAATACATTCAAGCCCATGATGCTCTTCAGGCAGCAAGCAATAAAGCAGTATCAGATAGAGAGATTTCAGGGCACAATGCTGTTATCAGTATGTCAAAATTATCTGGGAAATTGGCTGCCACTAAAAAAGATTATTTCTGTTTCCACAGAGTTTTACAAATATTTGTTTCAAAAGGCATTATAATGCTCTTGCATTCAGTGAGTGCAGACCAAGCTGAGGTAATCTCATAATCATCTGGGCTCTGTCTTTTTTTTGGCTGCTGAGCATTCCTCACATTTTTATCTGTTTTCCCGTGGATTATAACGAAGCCCGTGTGTCCCCTCAGAGTTGTAATTGTCATAGTATGGGAGGTGGATCCACTCCGGTGGGTAGGTGGCTGCGCTGTAGACAAAGCACTGCAGGGTCCTTTCAGCAGCTGGAGACTCCTCAGGGGTGCTATGCGTGCCTTCCCACCCAAGGACGGCAATCCTCACCTGGGTGCGCTGGTACATGTCTGGGCAGCCTTCGAACTCATCAAGAAAGCGCAGCATTTGCTCGTCTACAGTATAGATCTCCCCCACCACGCAGTGGCCGTGTCCTGGAAGGTTCAGCAGACGGGGAATGTTATGTTCTCCAGCGATCACTAAGGGATAAGGCTCCACAGTGTGGCCCCGGCCCCGGAAGGTTGCGCAGCCATTAGTGCCATCCAGCAGGACATTATGGTTGGGCTGGCCTCGCTTCAGGGTCCCGTACACGAACACGTCAGCCATGTGGGCCAGAGACACTGCAAAGGAGAAAGGAAGCAGACGGGTAGATCCATGTGCCACAGAAACATTCAAGAGGTTTGTCCTCATTTGGAGTTGGAACCTTGCCTGGGAAGGGCCAGAATAAATATTTCAGGCTCTTGCTCAAGCACCTGCTCCCAACCCCGAGCACAACCAACCCAGAGCCCCACTGTTCTTCACCATCATGTGGCGGGTTCTGAGGTTACAGGAAACACCACCTACCCTTTATTATCATTTTCTGAGAAGAGGTGCTCAATTGAGAACATCCTTGCCAGATGGAGACAAAACTGCTCTTTTGTTTTTTTAAAGATTTTATTTATTTACTCTCAGAGAAGGGAAGGGAGGGAGAAAAGAGAGGGAGAGAAACATCAATGTGTGGTTGCGTCTCGCACACCTGCTACTGGGGACTAGGCCTGCAATCCAGGCATGTGCCCTGCACCGGGAATCGAAATGGCGACCCTTCGGTTCACAGGCTGGCGTTCAATCCCCTGAGCCACACCAGCCAGGGCAGAACTGTTTTTCAAAGCAGTTTTCAATCTTTTTAAAAGGACTTTAAAAATTACATAATAAATATAAATGTGTGGGTATATAAAATAGTCACCTGTAATAGGTTACAAGAGATAATTCAGGTTTCAGAACTAAATTTACATTCTACTCCTGACAGTATGATCCAGCAAACCTTTAATAATAACACTTTTCAGTGTTCCTTTTTCAAGGTCCTAGAGGGTAATGATGCTTTCCTGTGACTCACTGTGATTTACCACAGCGACCTTGGCTCCAACGTGAGATAAATATTTACTGCTTGCCAGGGTCTGGACCACAGACTGTTATGCAGTTGACAAAAGTGATTTGTGTAAAAGTGACTCAAACAGCAGTGGAACTCAAAGTTGAACAGGGGTGGGTCCTTCCTCAAAGCCTGGCATTTCACTGACATGCTTGCCCAACGCTGCGTAATACGGCAGGCTTTGGAAATGGGACACCCTGTGCAGCAAAACAAAAGGTGCATCCATCTGCCAGCAACAGCCTATGACCAACCAGGAACACCCAGAGGGTGACACCCCCTGGACATTAATCACATGATCAAGTGGCCCTTGGAGAAGTCATACTTAATTCATAGGTCTTCTACTTTCTTCTCAGCCAACAAGGGCTGGTCTGGGGATCGCATCCCAGCCTTGCCTTACCTCCTTGGGGCATTTGAGGAGGATGGGCAGTCCCAACAGGACTCCCCCACTGCCTTTTTCTGTCACCAGCCTGTGGAATGTCAAGAGTTCCATAAGTTTCAGGCAAATTGTATTTGGAAAGGCTTGGCCCTGGGAAAAACACAAGGCTGGCCAGCACATGCACTCTGGCATTTGACAACATGGGGACACCCTGAGCAGGATAAGGACATGATGGGAACATCTGGTTCTGGTTACTCTGACAAGGGTGGAAGGAGAGATTTGGATTGGAGTGCACAGCAGCCCTGTAGACCAGATGTTTAGAAGGAGTATCCCTGATTTCTTTTCCCTACACTTGTATCCTGTCTTATAGCTTGATCTGTCAACTCCTTCAGGATGTACCCAGGATCTGTAGTTTCTTATCCTCTTCACCACTACCACCCTCTCCCAAGGACCACCCCCCAATTCCCTAAAAGGCCTGCTTCTCCATTCCCTCCAGTCTGTTCCCATTGTAGGCCTAGTCAATCTTGGCTGCAAACTCCATGACTTCCTCTGTTGGTGCCAGCTGGCTTGTTGCACCTCATCTTCCTCCAGCCACCCGTGAAATGACACCTGCCCACTCTGGGGCCTTCACAGTCACTACTCCCTTGCCCACTCAGTTCCTGCCCCTTTAGTTACTTCCCTGAATGGCTGACCTGAAGCAGCACCTACCCATTCCTTCAGTCCTATCATGTCACCCTGTTTGGGTCTCTTTATGATATGTGATCTCCAAACCAATTGATCACTGCCAGGACATGAAGAGCTGGAAGAGAACTTGGAAACCGTCTAGTCCTACAGAGCTGAGTCTCAGGTTGGTGAGGATGACTAAGGTGGCACACTGGGGCAAAACTGGTCACAACTAGAGACCCACCCTCCTAATCACTGGTTCCCTAGCTTTTTTCTCCATTCGTTAAGTTTTCAAAAGTAACGTGTCCCTATTGTAAAGGTCAAAAGCCTTATGAGAGAAATGAAATTCCCTACCCTTTTCCACTCCCTTGAGGGAAATACTTCTAAGCTTAACCGTTGCATTTGGTATTAATCTTCATGTTGTTGGTTATTTATACTGCTATTTCTTGACGTTTTAAATCATGCCTTGCTTTTGTACCCCCAAAGCAGATGAGCAAAGCAATTTAAAGCAGAGGCTTTAGAACTGACTTGCCTGGGTTGAAATCCTGGCTCTGCCAGTTTTTAACTGTGACTGTAGGCAAACCATTTTACCTTTCTGTGCCTCAGCTCCCTCACCTGTAAAAGGACTAACATCAACCTGCTTCAGAAGACTGTTGCAATGGCTGCATGTGTTGATACACACGGACCGTCCTGCATGTGCGGTAAGTCTGTGTTCCATGTTTGCTTTAGAACACTGCTATAGAAGCGGTCTATGCCCCAAACACACGCAGTCTCTGCCCCACATTCCTTCAATGGACTCACATCACGATTTGGGTCAAATCCATATTCAGCATTAGAACTATGTAAACACTATCCTCAGATAAGGCACATAGTGTACTATGGTTTATTTCCTTTCTTGGACAACTTTTTGTTTTTCTTGGAAAAATAGCTTCAGCTTTTATTCCCCCTGCTCTTCACTCAAGTTTCTCTGACAATAATTTGGCCTCACATTTTCTGAAAGCACTGTAAGAACCCTTTCAGCCTTTACTACCCATTGGTTCCATTTTCCCCTGAAGCCTTGGCTCCCAGAAGCTGTCCTGTTTCAGCCTGGATACTGCTACCATCTGGGATGTCCTTGGTCAACCAGGGTTTCCCTGAGCCCTGTCCTTGAGTCCCATGGCCTCTTCTTGGTTGACTCTCTCATTTCACTGAGGCTTATTCTTTCACACCCTTGATTAACAGTGTGGTTGGGTAAAGAATTTTAGAAATAATTAACCTCAGAACTTTAAAGGTGTTTCTTCTCTGCCTTCTAATGCCTCAAGTTCTTGCTAAGTTCAGTGATACTGGGATCCAGTCCTTTGTACAGGACTCAAGCTTTTCTCTCTGGAGACTCAAAGTTTTCCTTTCTTCCTTGGATTCAGAGATTCTAAAATGATATGCCTTCATACGTTTGTTTATTTTTTTCCCTTCATTATGCTGGGTATTTCCATCTGAAAACTCATTATCTTGGATGGTGGGGAATTTTCTTCCCTAGCCTTCCTTGTTCTTTTTCTGGATCTTTAGTACTCAGATATTGCATATCTGGATTAATCTTCCTATGTGCCCTTTATATTCTACTTTATCTTCCAATTCTTCTCAATTTTTAAATACTTTTCTCATATTTATTTCCAAGATCATCTTCTTGTTCTCTCATTTTGTTAGCATCCTATTCGTTCACAGCATGATACCATCTCTTATTGTCTTTGGGAAGATGTTATCATGAGTTTGGTGGTTTTCTAAGTTTTCATTTTTCCCTGCAGTGCCTCTATTTCTCTTCAATTCCTCTTTGTTCTGATATATGTTTATTTTAAAAGGATTTCTAAAAGGTTTTAAACCCTTGCCTGGCCTTTTAAATTGAAAAGTGAGACACCATATAGGAAACTGCAGCTCTGTGTGAGGGGAGGGAGCCTGATGGTTGGCAGGCCTTGTGTGGGGGCTCTGGGTGCAGGTTTTGAGAGGTTCCCAGATAACAGAACCTGTAGATATTTACACTTTCCCTTGATCTCCATTCTTAAAAAAAGTATGTATTTTACTGATTATGCTGTTACAGTTGTCTCATTTTTTTTCTCCCCTTTATTCCCCTCCACCCTGCATCCCCCCATCTCACCAGCATTCTCCACCCCCCACCTTAGTTCATATCCATGGATCATACATATGTTTTTGCCTTCACTTCTCATACTGCTCTTAACTTCCCCCCGTCTATTTTGTACCTACTATTTATGCTTCTTATTCCCTGTACCTTTTCCCCCATTCTTCCCCCTTCCCTCTGATCTCCATTTCTGTGATTCTGTTCCTGTTCTAGTTGTTTGTTTTTGTTTTGGTTTTTAGGTTCAGTTGTTGATAATTGTGAGTTTCTTGTCATTTTACTGTTTCTAGTTTTGGATCTTCATCTTTTTCTTATATAAATCCCTTTGACATTTCATATAATAAGGGCTTGATGATGATGAGCTCCTTTAACTTTACCTTACCTGGGGAGCACTTTATCTGCCCTTCCATTCTAAATGTTAGCTTTGCTGGATAGAGTAATCTTGGATGTTGGTTCTTGCCTTTCATGAATTTGAATTCTTTCCAGCCCCTTCTTGCCTGCAAGGTTTGCGAAACAGCTGATAGTCTTACGGAAACTCCTTTGTAGGTAACTGTCTCCTTTTCTCTTGCTGCTTGTAAGATTCTCTCTTTATCTTTAATCTTAGGTAATGTAATTATGATGTGCCTTGGTGTGTGCCTCCTTGAGTCCAACTTCTTTGGGACTCTCTCAGCTTCCTAGAAGTCTGTTTCCTTAGCCAGATTGGGGAAGTTCTCCATTATTTTTTCAAATGTTTTCAATTTTTTGCTCTCCCTCTTCTCCTTCTGGCACCCCTATGATTTGGATATTGGATTGTTTAAAGTTGCCCCAGAGGTTCCTAAGTCTCTCTTTACTTTTTTGAATTCTGTTCTGGTTGAATGTTTCTCTTCCTTCTCCAAATCATTGATTTGAGTCCTGGTTTCCTTCCCTTTACTGTTGGTTTCCTGTATATTTTTCTTTATTTCATTTTGTATAGCCTTCACTTTTTCCTCCATCTTGCGACCATAGTCAACCAATTCTGTGAGCATCTGATTAGCAGTGTTTTGGACTGTGCATCTGATAGGTTGGCTATTTCTATTTTTGGAGCTTTGGTCTG